ACCAGATTTGTCACTAGCAGCTCCTGGAAGCAAAGGCAGAGGCCCAGCCTGCTCCACCTGCTCTGCAGCATGGCGAATAAAAGAGATCACAGCTACCAGAAGAAGCTTGCCTACCTTCATCCTTGAACTAACACGGCTACAACCAGCAACCCTGCATCCACCCACGTGTGACTCAGCCCCTCTCCCATGGGCACTCGCCCTTTGAACTACTGCACGGCCTCCACGCCAGGGGATTCTGCTTGTTGCCGTCAGCCTGGAGTCAGATGAGTTTGGTCTGGAAGTGCCTAAACAAGGCTTGGGAAGGCCCGTCAGGTTGGGAGCTGGTCTGACATGAGCGCAGCAGCAAGAAGCAGCCCACCTGGTGAAACAATTCAGAAAGGTCTTTTCAGCCTATCCGGGGATGACGCACTGAGGGGGACAGTGAATAGAGACCCCACTGGGAAAAATCATAGGGGAGCATTGGCGCCAGATCCCCCAAAAGCTCCAAAAAGCCATGTGAAGGGATGCTAGCAGATGGGGTAGTAAGAATCTGGAAGTGCCTGGTGAAACCCCATCCTCGTGGTCGCCAAAAAGGATGGGACCTTGCAGGTTTGTATTGATTTTAAGAAAGTAAAGAGCATAGGGTGCCTTGATGCTTACCCCATAGTTATGGGGGAGGGTTTGCTGGACAGGATGTGTGGGGGAGAGAGTTTAAAGCCATACTGGCAAACACCCCTAGAAGCAGATGCCCAGGAGAAGCATTGGCCACCCCACAGAGGCTTTGAGAGTTTGTCCAGGTGCCATTTGGCCTGCACGGAGCAGAAGCAATGTCCCAGCACCTGATGGATCCAAGGTATTGGCACCTCATCGGGGAGACATGGCTGCACCCATCGACGATGTGGCAGTGTACCCCGAGACCTGGGAGGAACACACGCAGCATCTGGCGGCAGTGCCAGAAGAGTTGTAAGCTGCAGGCCTGACTGCCAACCCCCCAAACATGTGCAAGAGGACACTCCATATTAAGGCTTCCAAGTAGTGGGGGAAAGATACAACCACTGATAGATGAGGTGCAGGCCGTAAGGGCTCATAATGTGCCCTGAACAAAAAAACAAACGTGGTTCTTTCTGGGGCTGGCCAACTACTACCGCCATCTAATACCTTGACTTTTGGACATATCCCCGCGGTCCGAGCTTACCAAGGACTCAGCCCCAAATAGGATTAGCTGGACAACAGAGGCCGAGGAAGCCTTCCAGCGGGTCAGGGAGGCACTATGTGCCCTCCAGACTTTTCAAAACCCTTTCCGGTACAGTCAGGTGTGACTCTGGTCTGCACTGGGTGCCTGGCCCTCGTGGCGCCCAGGCTGCTGGAGCAGCTGCTGTGAGCCCAGGCCCGGCTGCCTGGCGCTGGGCTCCCTGGGCTCAGGGGCCTTTGGGGAGCACAGCTGTGACCCTCAACAGACCTAGCACTGGCCTCATGGGGGGGTCTGCCTCTCTTCCCCTGGCTCTGGGCAAGGCCTCATCCATGGGGGAGGCTGGGCCTGTGCCAGCACCTGCTCCACGTATGACCGCACACGGACACCTGCACCTGGAGAGAAACCAGCCCCGGGGCTGTGGCAGGTTTTGCAGCACTCGCTGTGTCCTTACTTGGCTCTTCTCACAGCTGGGGGGTTTACAGACTTTTATCTGTGGTCCTGACTTTGCGCGTGTGGTCAGTCCGCATTTATCCTGTGATTCAACAATGAACTGCACCATGTACATAACGTGTGGCATGGCCTGGGTCTCCCATCCACGTGGTGCCCATGCCCCACTCTGCTCATCTGGCAGCAGCAGATGTAGACAAACACATCTTCCCCTTCCCCAGTGGAAGATTACAGAGGAAGGAAGGGAGGGTGAAAGCGCAGGTGATGCAAAGGCTGCTCTTGGCCGCAGTGGCCTGCCCAGAGCGGATATGCTGCTACCGTGGCATTCGTGGAAGTGCTACCCCTCAGCAGGGAGGGGAGGGGGGGTTGCAAATATATTTCATGGACATTAGGGCTGGAAGGGACCTCAGAAGATCAAGTCCAGCCCCCCGCCCCAAGGGCAGGAAGTCAGCAGGGGTCACGGGATCCCAGCAAGAAAAACATCCAAATTTCTCTTGAAGGTGTTCAAAGTAGGTGCTTGAGCCACCTCTGGTGGCAGGGCTTGGGGACTTGGACAGTAAAGAAATTCTTCCTTATGTCCAGCCTGAAACAGCCTTGCAGTAGTTTATGACCGTTCAACCTCATCATCCCTTGGGGTGCTCTGGTGAACAGATCCTGGTGAACACCCCGATAAACTTATAGGGGGCTATCAGGTCTCCCCTGAGCCTGCGCTTTTCCAGGCTGAGGAGTCCCATGGCTCTCAGCCTGTCGTTACATGTATATAGCTGTATCTCTAGCACCCTGCCAAGTGACTCTTGTGGTTTACTGGGCAGACCAAAGCACACTATGACAGTTAAGCCACAAAAACTGGTTACACAATTTGCACTGCACGCCCATCTCCATTTCCATACTCCCCTCCTGCCCCAGGCCCGCTGCACAGCGCACGGAGCCCCAGGGCCGGTCCCAGGTGCAGGGGGGCTGGAGCAGGGTATATCTGGGACCAGGGCTGGTGCAAAGCCCAGCATGGGGGTCTGGCTCTCCTGCTGCTACCGTCTGGGGGGTGAACCTGGGCGGGGGCAGAACGGGTTCCTGGGTGTGCGAATGCAACAGTCGCTCAGGCCGCTCTGGATTAAGACCCCGCAGGGAAGGGGCCTGGTGCCAGGGTGCTGCCCCTGGCCCTGGGGGTGGCAGTAGGAAGTGTAACCCTGGCTGTGTCGAGCGCTGCTGCGTGCTGGGCTGTGCCGACCCGGGACTGCTGGAGCTGGCAGGCCAGGACCCTTCTCACAGGCAGCGCCCCGCGCATCAGGCAGCGCTGTGTCCCCACTGCGGTGCCCGCCGGCATCCTGTCACAGCCCATCCCACCTGTGGTCCTGCCTGCTGGCGTCACAGCCTCGGGGAGACGAGGTTCCTTGCAGGGAGATGCTTGGGGGCCTCCAGCTGATCAGCATCGGGGCCTAGCCCCCGCTGCCCTGCAGGGTACATGAACTGGCATCTTGGGGAGGGGGACGAGGATCAGGAGTCAGCCTGGGGGGTAGAGATCTCCCAGCCCTGCAGGTGACTGGCCCCCCACCCCCCATTCTTTCGGCACCGACCCCATGTCTGTCTGTCCATCTCTTTGGTTTAGAAGAGGTGGCCATGGCTGCTGACCATGCTAACATCGCTGTCAACGAGCTGTATGACACGTGCCCACCCCATCCCTGGCTGTGGGTGTCACGGTCCCCAGGCTGGGGTGTGCTTGGGTCCCCGGGGGCAGAGGTAGCAGCAGGAGGGGGGTCTCAGGGCCAGGGGGAGCAGATGGTCCTGAGTCCTGCCTCCCCCCCCCGGCCGTTGGATACGCAGACGCCGCCGTCTTCACCACAGGGTCCTGGTGTCCATGCTGAGGAACAAGTTCTCTTGGACCCCAACTGAACAAGGGGGAGCAATTGGTGACAGACGGGGGGGACAAGGCTGACCTTTTCAATGAGTTTTTTGCCTCAGTGTTCCTGAACAGGGCTCAGGATAAGTCTCCTAGTGGGCTCTTAGATGGGCATCAGAGGGACACCAGCCCACCAACCGTTGATGCTGACTTGGTGCAGGCACGTGGGTGGAGGGTCCTGTCGAGTCGGCAGGGCTGGGCAAGCTGCACCCGAGGGCACTGAAGGAATTGGCGGGTGTCACAGCAGAGCCACTGGCACGGCTGTTTGGGCGCTCGGGGCAGGTCCCGGAGGACTGGAAAAGGGCCAGCGTGGTCCCTGTTTTCAAGAAGGGGGGAAGGAGGATCCGAGTAGTTACAGGCCAGTCAGTCTCACCTCCAGCCTTGGACAGGTCATCTCTGCGGGAGTCCAGCAGGAAAAATAATGCAGCAGGGAAACCAGCCTGGATTCATAGCAGGTGGATCATGCCTGACCGGTCTGGTTTCACTCTACAACGGGTCACAAAACGCTTGGATGCAGGAGTGGAGGTGGATGTCGTTTTCTTGGATTTTAGCACAGCCTTCGGTACGGTATCTCATCCCATTCTCATAATAAATGAAGAGGCTGTGACG